AGTCATTCTGTTGAAAGCTAATGTACTTGCATAGATAGATTTCCAGAGTCTGATTCATTCACTCTGTAGCTTCATTAGTCTCTGGGTGATAGACTGTAGAGAGTCATCACTTAATGCCTAATTTCTCACATATCTGAGTTCAAAACATGCTTGTGAAAGCTGACCCTTGATCTGACACTACTGCCTTAGAGATGCCATGTCAAGAAATGATGTTGCAAAGAAACACTCTAGTCACTGTCTTCACATCAGTTTTCTTAACTACTTTTAATATAACCTCCTTGGTCAGTCTGTCTGTTATAAGCATGATGTTCATGTATTCTTTAGAGCTCAGTAAGTTCATGATAAAATCCATGGAAAGCTTCTACCACATGCATTCAGAAATGAGGAGAGGCTTAAGCAGTCTCTGATGTCAATCTCTCTATGCAGTGTTCAATCTGCAAAGATGGCAGTTTCTGATCATTCTTCTCACATCAGCAGCATAGCCTGACCAGTAGAACCCATCTCTTAGGACTCCTGCTGTTTGCTCTCACCCAGGATGACTGGTAAGAGATGAGTCATGAGCCTTGTGCACTAATCTGATTCAAAGAGGTTCAAAGTCTGGCACCCACTTACAATCTTGAAAGAGAAGCTCTCTGTTCTCATTTAAAGAGCACTCAGAGACAGAGGTCTTAATGCTGAGTTCAGAAGGAAATCTGAATCTTTCCTCATGAAGAGTTTGCTTCAGACACTGTAGAATCTTGTCATTTTTGTGAGCCTCATTCCACTGAGCTTGAAGAGACATCTCAGATTCCACACTGGCAGCAGCCACTATTGGTTCCATTCCAGGTGCCAGTACATTAAACTTAAGTAGTTGAGCTTGCCTCTGCTTGATTCTCTCATCATCAGTGCTCTGTGGCATGTTCTGCTCTTTTTGTGATAGAGTGTCTGGTCCAGCATTCAACTTCCCTGGCCAGTAATCAATTCTGAAGTTGAATTGATAGAGAATATCCATTCAACATAGCTGTCTTTCATTTAGTCTGTGTGTAGTCATGAAGTATTCTAGATTCTTATGATCTGTGAGGATCTTGAATTCCTTTACACTTCATAGCTCAGCATCTCATTTCTTTAAACACTCAATTATCACTAATAACTTCTTATCATGAATCTCATAGTTGTATTCCGCAGGTGAATGCTTGTGAGAGAAGAAGGCACATGAGTGTAGAATGCTCTGCTCATCATATTGTAGCAGCACTCCTTCTGAGGTGTAACCTGAGAAGTCCATTTCCAATATAGTCTCACAGTCAGAGTTGAATTGAAACAGGATTGAAGCAGAGATAAACATTGATTTTAGACACTTAAAAGCTTCCTCAGCCTTGCTTGTCTACAAAAAAGAAACATTCTTGCATGTAAGAATCATCAGTGAGGTCATGATCTTTGAGAAATCTCTGATAAATCATCTATAGAAATTGGCAAAGCCTAAAAATCCTCATACATCTTTAAGAGTAGTAGGTGTTGCTCATTCTAAAACAGCTTTAACCTTCTCTGAATCCATTCATATATCCTTGCCTGCTTCAATGATGAATTCAAGATATTTTATACTGTTCATCTCAAACTCACTCTTTCTGATGTCTGCCTGCAGGCCTGCTTCTCATAGACACATAAGCATCTTTTGTACATGCTTATGATGCTTCTGTAAGCTTCTTGAGGAAAATATCAAGATGTCATCTAAATAGACTGAGCAGAAGTTGTCCAGATATCTATGTAATGCCCAGTTGATATATTTTTGAAACATGCTCAGAGCATTGGCCAAATCAAAGAGTGTAATCAGCCACTCAAATAGCCTGTATCTGGTTCTAAAGACTGTCATCCACTCATCACCTTCTGTGATTTGAATCTTGTGAAAAGCTGCAATAATGTCCAGCTTAGTGAATTATTTAGTCTGTTCAATTCACTGTAGAGTCTCACTGATTAATGGTAGAGAATATCAATTCTTTTGAGTGATTTTGTTAAGAGCTTGATAGTTCACACAGAATCTTAGTCCACTCTCAGACTTCTTTGTGAATAGTACAGAGGCAGCTGCAGAGGAGTTGCTCACTCTAATAAAACTCTTATCTAGATAATCTGTAAGAGTCTTTCACAAAGCCAGTAGTTTCTCTCAAGACATATTATATAGTGAGCCTCAAGAGGGTTGTTCTGCACTATCATCAGTCTTTTTAATCAGTTCAATCCCATGATCTCTATCTGAGCCATGAAGTGGGAGTAGAGTGTCAGCAGCTTCCTTATCAAATACATTCAAAAACTCATGATAATGTTCTGACAGCTTTTCTCTAGGGTCAATCTTTGATTTCACTTCCAGTGCCTTTTCAATGTCAGTCAAACTGACAGTGAAGATCTTGATGTTTCACTTCTCTCAAGTGCTCACAAGCCTAGAGAAGCTTATAGCAGAGATGGGAATCACATCAGCTTTTGCATTTGAACTAGACTCTACCTCTATGCCACTCTCTTTAAATCTCACAATTCTTTGATGAGGGATCACAGTCGCCTTTTGCTGAGCCAGTCAGAGGTCATCTAGATACATATCATGACCATGTAATTCATTCACCATATAGAGAAAGATCTGTTCAGTTATGTGACCATCTATATCAATTCAAATGCCAGTCACTATGCTTGTGGAGAGTCCCATGGAGTCTTCAAAGCCAGTCATTTTAACAGAGGGAATTTCAATGCACAGAAGCTTATGCTTGTTAACATAGAATTGAGAAATAAGACCATAGACATTACATTCACTATCTATCATTGCTCTAGTTGAAAAGGCATTATCTACTAGAGCATTGACAGTGAAGAATTTGAATATCATTTTAGATTTAAATCCTCTTCATTGCTTCTTCATAAGCTTCTTATTTCACTTCTTCCAGTGTCTTTTGATTGGAGCTACTCTTTTTTCTAAATCCTCACTCATATTCACATTGTCATTGTCCAGTACCAGCTCAGGGATCACCTTAGCTATCATGGGGGTGGCAGGGCATCTGGGAGGTTTGAACAAGCAGCTCTTAATTATATGACCTCCAGCTTCACATCTCAGGCACAGGCCTTGCTCTCTTTATTGATTAACCTCTGTCTGATTTATCAATTTGACATGGCAGATGCTTGGGATCACAGCATCAGAAGAGAGATCCATCAGATCATCAGCAGAAGCTTGAGACTGATTTCATTGATTGAGGACAGCATGACAAAGTAGAGAGTGTGAATTAGATGTTGTATGATCTGAAGAAGATCTGTCCTCACAATGTTTAGATCACTGTCTTAGAGTCTTAAGCTCAGAGAGTTGATGATCAACTAATCTAAGCTTCTTGCAGTAATCCTTGTAGAGAGATGGTTCCCTTACACCCACCATGCCTTCCCTCAGCTCCATGCTTAGGGCAGATTTCAAATATCTCTTTTTAACATGATCATTCCATCTGTGACCACCAGCTTCCAGCAGTAGCTGATTAAATTTAGACAGATAGTTGAAGAGAGCTCTTCTACTTTGTCATAGATTGTTGAGCTTTTGCATAGTCTTTTTCTGTCATGTGGGATCACTAAAGAGCATGAGTGTCTGCTCCAGTAAGCTCTCTACTGTGAAGTTGATCTTGTTCTTATTATTCTCAACCCAGGGGTAAACTCAAGCTGCTGCCATTTCTTTCAGTCTCAAGTACACATACCAAGCACATTTCTCATTATTGCCTAAAGCTTTCCCATTGATCTTAAGCTTTGATTGAAGCTTTAGCTCCCACTGAGAGTAGTGCTTCAGATTAGAACCATCATACTTCTCACAGTCTGATAGCTTGATCTTTGGTCTTCTGACTGCAATGAGTGATTGTGAATTCAATTGAGAGAGAGTTGATGTCAGAGTGTTCAAAGCTTGTCATAGATTAGCTATTTCAGCTTGCTGAGCTGCTATTAAATCCCTGTTCTCACACTGAACCTGTTCCTGCTGTTGGAGAAAGGTCATTCATTGTTGTTTGAAGCTGCTGAGGGCATCTCTGCTCATTGCTTCATGTTGATTTATTTGTGTATTTGTTGTACAAATCTGCTGCTTTATCTTGTTCAACTAGACATTTTCAATGTTGTTCATTCATTTGTTAGCATGATTGCTAACCCAGTCTATGCATATACCAGTGCTATCACTGAACTTCATGATGCAGGATTTAAGGCTCTCAATAGTCTATCATATATCAGCACATTTGCTGAGCTTCATGATACAGAATTAAGGCTCCCAGTGGCCTATCAATGAAAGAAGTGAAGCAATTCATAATGTAAAGAGTTAAGCTCTAAGAACTAGAGGCTAGTCCTTCTATATAACAAGGATGAATTGCTTGAGAAAGGGAAGAAAAGAATGAGATGAGAACTCAAGCTTAAGCAAGCTCACGTAGCATGATCATGTGCGCACATGCAAACAATGGCTAGGCTGAGTCAGCCAGCCAGAGCAAATCTAGAGGTTCAACCTCTTATAATATGAGCTTTTACTCATACTCTGTTGAATGAGATTTCTCAGAAAAAAAAATCTGCAGATTAAGTATGAGGCAGACTGTACAAAGAAACAGACAGCACAAGACTTTAAGAGCTGACTACAACAACACAATTCTCTGAATCTGATAATCTTTACTGATGATTCACAGATAGAGCACTCTCAGTGTGTGACTGATGCAGAATGAGCTATATGCTGAAGTAGCAAACATCATTTAATCTTCACAGAAAATCTGTCAATGAATAAAGCAAAGATCTTTGACACAGAGACAATGACAGCTCTGCAGAATCTAAAGAAAGTCATCATCTCATCTCAGACAAAGTTTGTCAGCAATGTCTACATTTGTCTAGACAATTTGAAGATAGCATAAGCTCTTGAATCTGTGTCAAACACCTCTAGCCAACAGGTCTTTGTGCAGTTTCTGAAAGTCATAAAGATCTGACAGAGCAGAGATAGACTTTCATTGATCACTCAGAGCAGAGTGATCATTAGATAAGTCTCAGATCACACAGACATGACTGATAATGAAAAGACAGATCTTGAAGTCAAAGCAGCTGCAGCACAGACAGCAAGTGCAAGCATGATATCTCAATCTGACAGTATAGACACTCTAGCTTATATAAAGTGGCACATTATGAAACAAATCACATGGATCTTTGAGAACTACTGAGTCAAAAATCAGCTCAAACACTATATGAAGCTGGAGATTCCACTAAAGAGAGTCTCAACAGAGGTAAAACTTTCATACTTCACATTAGAAAAGCTCTATGTCATCTGATCAGAATATGAAGACTTTGCAGCCTATCACAGTCATCTTAAGTATGAAGATGCAGAGTGCTACTGCTGGTGTGAACATAGCAAAATCTCAGAACATATCTACTATTACACTCTTGCAAGAAAAGCAGCAAAGTGATGTCAGTCTATCTACAATCTCTGTGAGACACTAGCAACCTCATGTGAGGCTTTAGAATTCAATAACTGACTAAGAGAAACAGTCTTCTATCAGCATATCTGTTCAATGCACTGTTGTGCATCTTCAGATTAGATCTCACAGATCATTCTCTTCTCTGTCTTGTCTCTGTCTTTCTCATCATCTTCTTTTTCTTTCTCTCTTTTCTTCTCTTTCTTTTCTTTCTTGTCTTTCTTTCTATTCATCTTCTTTACCTCTCTATCACAAATCTAGAACCTCTCAAAACCTCTGCTCTATGACAACTGACTCATGAGCTCTGCCAGTGCAACAATACACAACTCTTTTGCCTCATTTGTAAGATAGCTACTAGATAGATAGTCACTTATGAGCACAGCTCTACTCACTCTATAGTTCAACACAGACTCTACTAGATCACATGCTCATAAGGCATGTGGACTAACCAGGTGTTAAATAAAAACACACACACACACACACACACATATACATACATAGTCTCTGCATCATGTGATCAAACTGACAGCAAAGCCTCTGCTATTCAGATAATTCTCTGCAATTGTTGTGTCACAATTATTAAGACATTGAACTTCACAGCTAACTCTCTGCAACAATGAGGTGTTTTCTAATTAAGACAGTCTTAGCATTTAAGCTTTCTGATTGAGATGATCTTGGTGTTGAATCTTTTTGATTAAAATGGCCTTAGCATTGAGCCTTTCTGACTTAAATAGTCTTAGCATAACCTCTGTACCAGTCAACCTCCCCCTGGTGTTTTCCTGAACATATATAGCAGGTAATGCTCTGGTATGATGACTTTTCATTGTTGTCTTGTCATTGTCTCACTTGTCAGAAAACTTCTTATTTTATTCATCAGATATCATTGTGGTCTATTCAAAATGCATGTCTCTGCTCACTGCTTAAGTCTTGATGATTTGAAGCAGTCTGTATCAAAGATAGATTTACTTTATGAAGCAAATCTGCTGATGGTAGTGAATACAATCAATGCCCATGCTGTAGCTCATGCAATTGACACCACAATCTGATCAGTGCTCTTGCAGGTTCCATTTGCAGTGTGGGTACTAAAAGTGATTGGGCATGATATAGACCTGATGGATAGTTTCTTTTGATTATACCATGTGCTCTGTATTCAACTCCATAGTCTTCTTTAGATGCATTCTGAGCCGCCAAGGTTCAAGAATGAACTTTGGGAGGTAGGCTAGAACTCAGATAATTCAACTATACTGTGTGCTGACTCTGGAGACAGGCTATTCCCGTAGTAAACCCTCTTGCCCACGCAGTGATATCTAGCTGCGTTCAGAACACCCAGTCGTGGAAATGCGTGGCCCATGATCTTGAAATCGGCTTCATCACTGAACCCCTTACTGATGTCTTCGGTCATCAGCTCTGTTATTTGGACGCGGACGAATTTTACCTTCTGAATGCCCGCTTTCAGCGTATATATGGCGAAACCGATCGGACGGCTAGGTTTCGCACCAACTTGATACTTTCCTGGGGAATTAGAGACATGCTACCAGCCTCTTTAGCCGGCTCCATCACAACTGAAGACTTGAGATGCTTCCAGAACGCCTACGCCCTCGTGCTTTCAGAGTGAGATGAGGGGTGGCATCACTTGAGTTGCTCTTGGCAACAATGAAGTGAAGATTCCATCAAATGCCTTTGAACAGACTTCAAATACAGTGGACCCTTGGTTGAACTCACCATGGTAAGCTGATCACTGCAGCCTCTTTGCCTTGGAGTACTTCTGACATCATATCAAAAGTGCTTGTACAAGCAAAGACATCTTTACAGAGTGACTGTGATTGTGATGGATCTGAAGAGTTATCTGAAGAGTGTTGCATATAATGAAACAATGATCTCACTGGAGCTGGGTAGAATTCTTGAACTGGAGAACTATGATGTATATCACAACCATTTGTGAATGTTGATAGAGAAGAGGCAACCCATGTTGCCTTTCATATTTCCCATTTTCAAAGAGTATCAGATGTCCATTCAGATCCTCCAACAGCTCAAACCATCCTCCCCCCCATATGAGACTTATTTGCGGAGGGCAACATTGAATGCTAATGACTTGCTCTTGTTCAGATCATACACTGCACAGACAGAAGTCATGGAGAGAGTTGAGAGCATGTTCAAGCTCTGTATTTGCTTTTAGCACCACATTATGGCCTAGTCAGTATCTCAATCACATAGCCATTCACTCCTTCCTTGTTAGGAACATGTAACTGCCATAGTTCACAACACCTGTAACATTAATTTACAGTTCATTTCAGAATTTTAATACCAGCTACACCTTTTAAAGCTCAGCTGCTAATTAGGGCACACCTCTTGATCCTGCAATTGGAGTGGTAAGGCAAACCGGCTGCCTCATGCAAGGCTCTTCATTCACCAAGTAAAGCATAATCAGGCATGAAGTTAGTCACTGAGATTGACATATTTAAACAAGCAGACAACCCACTGATGTCCCTGTCATAAGTGCAAGTCTGAAGCATACAATGCTCCCTCTGCTTAACACGTCATCTTTCCCCCAGCTCCCTTCAGTGTCGTCTCCAAATCCCAGATCTCAGGATGAGCTCTATGCTGGCAAAAAAATTAGGCGTCCTCGAGCTCGGACGGTAAGGGTTAGGCTTCCTCATAGGATTCACAGTAAAGATTCGGGATATTCAAAATTAACGGTGCCAAGACTAATTTAACTCATCACGTGGTCGTCTGCTTCCTTCCCGCACCACCCCTCTATGAAGCCCCGCACTGCGATGCGTTCGACCAGGTCAGGACGAAGATGGATGTGAATGTTTCGATCAAATCTGGTGACACACTGGACCTCTATCGAGATTCAGGCAGAGTCCTCCGGTCACTCATTGATGATGGATGGATTGTGTTGAAGGATGCGACGGATACAAACTCCATTGAGCTGGTTGTGAAGAATCAGGTGAGAATTTCCGCCCCGCAACCTCTGTTCATCTTGACTGAAGTAACCTAGCACATCAATTACCTCCTTACTAGAATGAGCACAAATTTCGGATAGGACAAACCTATTCTGATGCCCGCTTCTCGACTTGAAAACTCCCCATTTGAACATTTTCCCCAGGGGGAGAAGCTAGCAGAGAGGAAAGATGAGATCCTTGGCGTGACTGCTTATCATCTCTACGGGAAAGATAATAAGATGCAGTGGCGGTGGCAGTACTGCATAGGAGGCAGCGAGGGTAACCAACCAAAGACCATTCAAGTCACCGGTGGATACGTGTACGTGAAACCCAAGCCTCAAACAATAAGTCTGTTATTAACATTTCACAGGATCATATGCAGCGGTTGGCTATTACAGCAGCTTCCCATGCCGGCAGGTAAAACAGACCTATACCTAATAAACTATTATCAGTCAGATTACTCTTGGTGAAAACTTCAAGGGAGTATGGTTGATGTTAAACTAGTACAGAACAACTTATTTAGGAACTGGAAGGAAAATGGTGCATCTGAAGTAGATATAGGTAGCATTATGGTAATGGGATTTTCAATATACAGTAGATAAAACTGTAATTACTATCCTTCAAAGAAGCTCTGCCATTATAATTATCCAGATGAGGGGAAATTGTAGATGGACTCAGCGGGCACTGGCAATAGTTGAGCTGGGTAGATAGATCCCTCGGAGACGGTCGGCGGAGGTTGGGGGGGGGGTTAGGACGGGTGTTATAGATAGAGCTGGTGGAGAATGGCTGTAGTTGAGCTGGGTATATCGACCCGTGGAAGCTGGTAGTTGGTGGCGAGGAGGGATTGAATCGGGGGTTATAGATAGAGCCGGTGGAGAATGGCTGTAGTTGAGCTGGGTATAACCATCCGTCGGACGATGATACTTGATCTGAGTAGGGCTTGATTAACGCGCCGTCACTATGGTCATGAATGAATGGCGACGGGGCCGAGTCCCTGGGACATTTGCCTGATATGACTGATTCAGATTCAGTCACACCTGTGCATGTTTTGTTGTCAATTTGCTTCCTCTTCCTCTTCCCTGAGGGTCAGATTCCATCCAGGATTTCACACAGCTGATCATTTTCTTTTTCAACTCATTCAACTCTTTTGTTTATCAGTTCAAACATCTGCATAACTTCTTTGCAATGGCATGAACTGTCATTGCAGCCATCTGCTGTAGAGATGTCCCGCGACTCTCCCTCACTGGCTGCCTCACTTTCATCTTTTTGACAGGCGAAATGATTCCCGTTCGGTTGTAAGAGGGTAAGGCCTCTGATTCAATGAGTGACTATCTCTATTAGTATGTAAGCTATACAGACAAGTAGGACAACCCACATGCAGTGTGGAATGTTCAGGAGGCTTCAATCCTAGACATACTTAACTCTCCATGATAATCTTTCTCATGTCTTGCAAGAGAGGATTTGCTTTTGAAAAATTCCTTTTCACACTGAAAACAGTATATTCCGGTAAGTATCACACAGTGGAACTGGTGACTACAGTCCTGTGTGTTTCAAATGTGGTTGGCAAGGTTTTCAGGAGACTGATACTCTTGATTCCAGCACTTACATCCTGGAGCAATGCCCTTCAGTAGCTGTGGGCCCATCCAATCCTGGCAATATGACACTTTTATTTCCTTTAAAGTGCAAATGGGGCCGCCAAACACTGTATTCAAGTGGTGTTCAGCCCCCACACTGCCAACGATATCCTCCAGCACAACCACACGCGCGTACAGACACTCGATTGTTTTGCATAGTGCCCGGTGCTGTGCATTCGGGACTCTCTCAGGTAGTTGAGGGGCGACGACGAAATGATGTTCTAAGACTGTCCTTAGTGACTAAATTGTAGAAGGGTTTGTGCTACTTACCCATTTTGCTGGTAGAGATTATCCGTTATTAGCTTACGGCAGTAAGATGGGTGAGTTAAAAGAACAAATGGGTGCCAGGTCATCTGTTTTCTCAACAGGTTCCATTCCGGTTCAGAACATCAAGAACCCGAAATCGACCAGCATAACAGCCGACCTGCCAATCACCATATGCACAGACCACGTGAGGGAAGATATCTCCATCACTCGGTTTGTTCATGTTGCAGCGGACATGGTCAGCTTTACCCAGCCATCTATCGCTTCAATCTCAAGCCCCAGCAGAAACGGTATATTCAGCATCCTGAGTGATATCTCTAAGGTCAAGGTATGGTTTGGTGCCTTTCGCTGCCTTTGGATCCGAGATTCTGATCAATGCACCTCGGCATTTAATTGTTCTGTATTCCACCACTGAAAATATGCGGCCGCGAACGTACTCAAGTTGTTCTTCTTCGGCCTTCGGGGTCTAATTTTTATCTTCCTATTAGATAAATAAAAATCTGAAGTTTAGATTTTGTAAACTTGCCTCTCCAGGCATGGCGAAATCACCGATAATAATTGAGGTAGGTATTGAAGAGTCCTACTTGTGTAAACTCCAGCAATTGTCTTCTAGGAAAACGGATGGCTAAATAGAGGTCAGAGGTTAGAACGTAGAAGTCGGAAAAGTTTCGGTTTATACTAACCTTTGGTTTCCTGTATCCAAGAGCCTCTTGTCTGTAGAAAAGAAAGTACTACGAAAAATGGAAGGCCCAGTCGAAAGAGAACACAAGTTCAGATATAGAGAAATCACTCTCGTTTCGGGCACCAAGACGACCACGTGAGAGTTACAGTTTCTCACAAGATACTCTTGCAGAATTCCACGTCAAATGGATGTTTTGGAGGTAAATGAGGGGCTTTGCTACTTCACCACCGAAAAATTATGTTGGGCACCAACTGCGAAGGACTCTATATTTAGTTAAGCTTTTTGGGTGGTTGCATTCTTCAACGACGTCGGAAACAACATTTAAATCACTTAACTTCTATCTCATTCACATGATCTCTAAATCCAGCTTTATACAATGGACAGAAATTTAAACAAAGCAGGCCCTGCGCCGAATGGAGAACGCGACCGATCAAGATTCAGCATTATAACCGGGATATTTAGCGTGGCAGTTGTGCTGCAGGAGAACTGCTGACGTTCCAGGCTTTGCTGGGGTCCATATTTCACCCTTAAAGTAGATCATGGATTTAGTAAGCTGCCTAGGAACTGGAGTGGACCTAATTAGAGAAATAACTGGACACGTTAAACCGTGTGCATTGAGCAGGCTAATATAAATGATACTTATTTTCCAGAAAAGAGCAATCATTAATCCTATCAGGTTTAATCAGAGCTATCGCATCATCGTACGCTTTAATAATAGGATCATATAAGGTTTTGGGTCTTGTGGCGTTCCAACATAAGTCCTTCCCTTCCTTCCCCTAGGCGCGGTTTACAGTTTAGCTACAACCTGTCACTGTATTGATTCAACTTGTTCCCGTCCCATCTTTGCACTGGATAAAGGCCTAATGATACTCCATTGTTGCCCTTCTGTACGAATGGTATGAGGAATACGTCTTGTTCAATTTTCTGTTGTACATGCGTTTTTTGTTCCTCTTTGGCAAGGTCAATAATTCATGGAAGCTTAGTTAAATCAAAAGTAAAACGATGGTCACAATTCAACAGCTTAGTTGTCCAAAATTATATATCCATGGATGGTTATCTATCTGTGGTATCTCGTCTGGGGGCGAGGAACAATTAGCGCCATTTTTCCGCCACTCAAATTGACTGGTGCAGTAATCCTTGCAGACGCCAGGACCTTATTACAAAAAATAATTATAAATTCTAGCCCTTCTGAAGAAGTTTAATGTGATCTGCATATAACGGGACGGTCCGGAATGATCTTCGCCTGCTGGCTAAACTAACTTAACCAATTTACCCTGCACTAGTCCTAATTGGGCCATGCCAACCTCAACTTTAATGGGGTGATTCTCGGACTGTCCATTTCACCTGGCCACACACTTGAAACAGTACATTTGCAACAGAAACAGCCCAAGTATATAAGGACCCCGCAGAGAAAAGATTACATATGCCAGCCATCTTGGGCAGCAAGCATGCCGAGGTACCACAGTGCCAAGAGAACAGTCATTTGGGGCTGTTCAGTGGTACCTCCGGATGTGAATGGGATGGGTGGAACAAGCTCAAGGTTGCCGCTGTCATCCACTCTTCGGAATACGACCAATTCAAGATTGGTAAGAAGAAAGCCGTGTCGAGAATTGTGCTGTCTCATATACCAGTTGACCTGACTGAGTGCTTGGCGATACTCGTTGCGAATTCCGAGGAGTGGGTGGGTTGCAAGGGCTGTGCTCCATTTCCACGATGGCTTGACATCTCCTGGAGCGCGGTTTGGACCGGTGCCTGCTGGTAGTGCGACCGCAAAATAAGCGGTGTCTGGCTTGAAAGCATCGATAACTTCGGCGCACTCTCCAACATCAAACGACACGGGTGTGAGGTCGTTCATTTGGTTGATTGCCATCAACCGGTCAAACCCAGTTCGAAGAGCCCGTCGCACTCTTGGAAACACATATTCTGAGATCTTGCTTCTAAGAGCATTCTCCGCTGTTATAGCACGGGGTGGGGATGTCGGCATGGGGTCCGGTGGGAGCCGTGCTTTAACCAAAAGATTCTGGTAACTTTGAAGAAGTGCATTCAAGTTGAAGCCATGCCAAACCCCTATATTGTGGATGTCGCTAGCTTCGTATGCTGTATTTGTGGTGTTGCGCCCAGGGTTTGGAGGTGGATTGACTGGAATCGCTGGTAAAGCATTTTGTAGGTAAGTTAAGAGGGACACCTGGTTCGCCATATTGAGCAGGAATCAATTTTACTATTCGGTCGCAAGTTATTCGCCAGTCGCTAGCCGAGGAATATTGTAGTCTCATAAGTTCTGAAATGTAACGGCATATTTGGTTTCAGGGTAAGGCCATCGGCCAGACTGTATGGAAATAACGAGTGTTCACGATTACGTTGCCCACGTCTAATTATCACCAGCCACGTCTAGCTACTCCAGAGGTTGCTGCCTAAAGGCACACCACGTTTTGTACAACCTTCACGTGCCCAACGCGTGAGTACAGGGGGGCTTCGCTTGCCAGTTAACATATTTCACCACTTTCTCGAACGGGGCGAGACAGACAAACAAGACAAACATACCAAGGTATCATTTATATCACGTGCTTTACTTCCTTTTCTCGACGTCAAAAGTCACAGACCGTCTTTCGCCCAGCGACCCAAACCCACTTTCGAAAGGATCTAGGTAACGATGGAGCTTAACAATATCAAACCTTCCGAGATAGTTTTCAAGGCGAAGCTTTTTGCCTCCGATTATTCGGTGATATTTCTTGTTATTGTTCATGGCCAGATATGTGTTATGAAGGTGGTAAGTAAGATCCTCCGAGAATTGCTATGGTCTGATACTGATGGTAACAGCATCACGGTCGAGGGCCACGACGGTACTACGAACCGAAAGATCGTGAATTGGATATCCATGTGCTTGAGTCTGCCGCCTATCGGCGACTAAGGGATCGAGGGTTGTGTGAACGTGGAGTTATCCCTCGTTTCCTTGGGACGATGGAGAAGTTCGATCCGAAACCATGCCAACCTTACCTGAAAATGTTCCTTGATGATAAATACCTTCCTAGCGCTATTTTTCTGGAGTACATACCGAATCTTGAGATGATTCATCTGCACAACTATACACAGAGACGAAAGGACAACTTTCTCAAAGGCATACAGGAGATACACGGAGCAGGAGTACGGCACAGGGATCCGAAACCTAGGAACATGATGATCGTCAAGGACGATTCGGAAAGAGTTGTTTGGATAGATTTTGATCGAGCAGAGACTTACAACCTTCCAGTCACCGATGAACAAAAAAGGCTTTTGGACGAGGAGGAGGAGATTGTTCTTGGCTTCTGGGACTGTTTAGTAAGTGCACCAATTGCAGCTCGCCTAAGGGGGTTCGCGACCGATTCTAAATTTCATTATCTACTGCAGCAAGCCGATTGTGCAAAAGGGAAACTTGATGAAGCGTACCTTTTCTACTGCACTTAATCAAATCCTCTCGATGGGTCCCTAAGTACCCATATCACGCGTGAATAACGAAAAAGGTCATCCCCGTTGGGTATATATGTGCCCGACGCACGGTTGAAGCTGCTTAATCAAAACTGGCTAAAATACCCCGATAGAGAAGCTGGCTCAGGCTATCTGTAACGGCGAGCCTCCATTTATGTATGCAAAAATAATGCCAATATACGCAGCCCGCCCTCCAACGCTGTTCCCTCTGGGGAACCAATTGATGGGCCTACTTGGCCAAGAGTCACTGCAGAAGTCGACTGCTGAGATGAAGCGAGAATTTCTTTTTTTGCCGGTGGTGAAAATTGGGCTGCAAAATTTCTATGAAGTTGAAGATCTTACTTTGCCTGAGGCAGGCTTTGAAGAGTATGGGATCTAGTTTTATTATCCCTGTGAAAAGCGCAATAAATTCTAAAATGCTATCTTCAACAAAAAAAACACAAATTTGGCTGGATCCTGTTCCGGTGCTGGTAAAGGTCGGAGAAGAATTCAGTCTCTTGGAGTGAGGTGTCCTTGCAGCAGTATTTCCAATGTCATACCCCTTCTGATGCGCGCTTTCTGTTCTATATGCTGGCACGGCGGTTGATCATCGTCTCAGTATATGAAGAACTCACATTCCATTAGTTTTTGGACTGAAAATGAACCAGTGGCTCGTTTCTAGCATTCACTCATTCTATGATCTGGGCGTCACATTCTCAGGGAGAGTTCCTGGAGTTACAGTTCCTGGGTCAGATCATCAAGAGATCTGTTCCGGCTCTAAGGCGTGCTTTATGGGGTCCTGGACGCGACTTTTACGGTACTAAAACACAAAGCGATCACACGATTTTCATGGCGAGTCCATGGCGGGGGATCCAGACGGCTACGCAATACGTGATGATATTTATGGGTAATGTGCTTACGGAAAGGCGTATAAAGATATTCTGGAGATATTCTGGATCAAGTTGACATAGCACATGCAATCGAAATGATAATAATTCATTCTTATCTTAAACACAACACCAACACACTATTTCTGCCTCCTTGGCCGCTTCAAGGCATGCGTCTGTTGGGTGAAGGAAGTATTGGGTGTAGCTTCTGCTGAGGCTACAAAGCTTGTCAAGAGAGGACTGGCATGAGTGGCTGAGTGAAATTGTGGATGACATCAATGCCGCAGCAGATCGCATACACTGGTGAGGCCTACTTGGTGAATGTGTGTCCATTTGTTTGCTGACGACGAGCATTCCGCATTGATTCTTTTACTTGATGCGTCTGGCCGGCTGTTAGTAACGAAATCTCGACCTAAAAGATGAAATTCTATATGAGGCCTTTCCTTTTTAAATAAATTACACGATGATTTTACCCCACCTTGCTATCATGTGGCACTTCGTGCTGTTCCTTGAGTAAGAATTTACGGTTTTAATAAATCACGTCGTTGGAACGGGTTGGTGCCAACATAAGGGTCTTATAACAACCTTCATGGTTGCATGTTCACATGATGAGGGTTAGGCCTAATCGGGCGCCGAGCTTAATCCGACGTCAAGTCTAACCGGGCACCGGGCCTCGGTCGGGCTCGGTCGGGCGCTGAGCCTAATAATTACTCTAGATTTGACTTTAGTTTTCTCTAATAAAAAATAATAATAGTTAGAATATAAAATTTAAAATTGATATTCAATATTTAAATTTCCTTCTTTTGTTAAAATAAAATCAATTTTTTAAATAAAAGCTATATTTAGATAAGAATAAATAGAAATATTACTTCTTTTTATATTATTCTATAAATATATAATTTTAGAAAAAAAATTATTTTTTATTTATTTTTAATATAATAAATATTCAAATAATTATATAAATAAAAATTTTCTCTCTTTAGCAATATAATTTACTATTATTAGTAATTATAACATCTTTTATAAAAATTAATTTCTGAGATTTAAAGTTAAATATTCTTATAATAGGAGTTGAATTGACAGTTTATTTAATATTTACTAAAGACTTGCTCTCTGATGATTTCTCTACTTAAGAATTTCATCTTTTAGTTCTATTTCTTGACTGATAATTTGCTTTATTCTTATTAAAGACTATATTATCTTTTTAATTCTCTATTGAGACTTTATCTCTATTATTCTTTAGATAGAAAAAGTAAATTAAAGCTATTGATATATGATTTTCCTTGCAATTATTGCACTTAACTGTGATGTGAGAAAATAATTTACTTTTTACATCATATATGATATAAGTATGATCTATTATATTATGATTTTCTATATAAATCTTATATGCTATAATATATTTACAATCTTCTATAAAGTAATCTTATTTTTGATATCTTTTACATTGAATATGAGTTTTAACTATAAATCTAGAGTTAATATATTTAAAAGTTTTTAGCATTTAATCAGTTATAAAGAGTAATAAGGTCTTTATCTATTTTTTTGATTTTTCTTTTCATTTACTTGATTTTTCAAGATAAATGCTACAAGTTTTATATTATTAAGCTATTTAACTTGATCTATCAATTTGTCTCTTTTATTTTTTTAAATATTTTATTTAAAGAGTTTTTGATAAGTTTTTGTCAAGTCTTTTTTTTCTATTTTAGATATAGAAAATGTTTTTTTTATTTTTCAACTTTTATTTATAGTTTTTATATATTTAATTTAAGCTTTGATAGAAATCTTTCTGATTTTATTATTAATTTAGTAACTAAACTAGATTTTTTAAAAAAGTTTAATAAACTAAGATTAATTTTTAATATAAACTAATAAATTTTTTATAAATACTTCTTAAGATATAGAAAAGGTGAAAAACTAATAATTTTAATTTCAATTAAGTCAGGAAAGAAATATTAGTTGTTAATAAAAATCTAGTAAAAAAATAAAAATTTTTATAGAAAAATTGTTAAAATTTAATTAATTCTATCTATATAGAAGAAATTTTCTCTATATAATTAGTGTGTAGTGTAATTTTTCAAAATAGATGTAGATTCAATATGTAAATTTTTCATTATCAAAGAAAAAGTTAAATTTAGATAAGATTTTTCTGACTTTTTGAAGAAAAATCAGAAAAAACTATCATTTTAAGAGAGATCTATAGATCTCACTAAAACATCTTCTCTACTAGAGTTTAATCAGATTCAGTTAAAGCTTTAATTGATTTTAATTAAATGTTAACTAAGCTATATTAAACTTATTAAAAAATTAGTTAAAGTTCAACTTTATGAAATATTTTATATATATTTACTTCTAGCTTATCTCTATTCTCAGCTATACTTTGCTAGTTCTAATCTTTAGTCTATAGTTTATGAAGATTAGATACAAGGAACTTAGGCTATATACTCTTCATTTTCTATAGATATCTTTTTGCTATATCTTGATAAACTTTAATAAGTGCAACGTGAGGAGGTATTTGATGTAGTGAGAAGAAAATCAAAATTAATATAGTTTTTAAAAAGCTTAAATGTATTTTTTTCTCAATAATAACTTAATAAAAGCTTTTAAAAACTAGCTAAATTAGTTTAATCTAATCAATCTCTTAGTCATTTAATTGTTATTCTCTTTAGAATAAATATTTTAAATTGATGATGAAAATTATTGATAAATATTTTCTTTTTAAAAAAAAGTATATTTTTAATAATCAATTTTTCAAATTTTATCTAAATAATATAAAAATTAAAAAGCTGATCAATTTTAACAAAAACTCTCTAATAAAAGTATTTTTAAATCAAAATTCTAAAAATTATCTAAGTTTTAAAAAAGGTATATTATTTTTGAAATATATTTAAATCAAATAGCTGATAATTATTCAATATAGATCATTATCAAAACAATAGTAAAAAAAGAAAACTCTTTCAAACTCACAAATCAATATTAATTATAATAATATAGACTTATAAAAATAAGTTAAAAATAAAAAATTGAAAATAAAATAATGAAATGCTTCAATTATTAAAGTAAGAATTATAAAGTTTAAAATTACTTATAAAAATAAAAAACAGAGGTAACAGAAGTAAATACTGAGACTATTATTATTAAATTAAGAAAAAATTAAATTTAAAAGAAGTCTTCTTTTCAAATAAGATAGTTGTCCTAAAAACTTTGAATTTTAGTCAGTTGATGAGTGAAAATCTCTTAACTATCTATACAAAAGTAGTTTTTAATGAATATATCATTTTTATAAGATTACTAGTAAACTCTAAAGTAAATTACTATATTCTTATCAACATGAGCTTTGTATATAAGTATGTAAAAGTCTTGAAAGTAAACTCAGAGAGACTAAAGAAAGATCATCAGATTATGAATTTTAATAATCAAGTAGAAATTGAAATTACAGAGATTATCTCTTTATATTTATAAGTGAATAAGTAAATATTTCTCAATATATTAATACTATTAATAAATCTAAAAAGTATTGATATAATTATAAATTAGTTTTGACTAATAGAGTAGAAAATATGACAAGATATAAGAAATTAATATTTAGTTAGACCAGACCAATAAATATCTGAAGATGAGATTTCTAAAGAATATAATATAATAATTTTAAAAAAGATTCTAAAGAGATTAGTAGTATAATCAAAGTATCAATAAAATGCTAATTGTCATAATATATTTATTGATAAGAAAGTCAGATGTAAAGCTGTTAAGAAAAAAAAGTTGACTTTCAAGACTTTATCAAAAATAATAGTTGTTGAAGATAATGTTTTTTATTACTATCAGAAGAGTAAGAAGTCAAAGATCTTTATTTTAAGTCTCTATGATATAGACTAAATTATTGATGAAAAGAAGAAGATCATTTTTGATGTAAATTTGAAGAAGAAAAAAAACAGTTGATAAATTGCTACTGAAAGACTATAAAGTGTTCTCTGATATTTTCTTAAAAACTATCTCTGATCAATTATTACTTTTTTTAAAAAAAACAAATTATAAGATTAAGTTTAAAAAAAAACTATTTTTAATAAAGTTATTGATTATGCATCTTAATATTGAATATATTTGAAGAAACTAGAGATAGTCAATTAGTATTTTGAGATTAATTTAGTAAAGAGCTTTATCTCATTTATTACTTCTTTCTTTACATTATTAGTTCTTATTACTTATATAGTAAGTAAATTAAGATTTTGTATAAATTAAAAAATATTTAATATAATTTTAAAAAAGAACTATTATTTAATTCTATTGATGAATAAGCTTATAAAATAGTTGAATGAAGTTAATATAATCAATAAGCAAGTCAGCTATATAAGCAAGTCAGTCACTTTTCATCTCATCTCTGAATAATATCATTATCATCAAAAATGCCAATCACACAAAGAATTAAAATCTTTACTCAAAAAGAAAGACTTTTTTTAATCATTTAAGCATTTAAAAATGATCAAATTTCAAATATATAAGCTGTAGCAAAGCT